TAAAGAATTTATGTTTAATCAATTTTATCTGAAAAGAACAATTGAAAAAGAGGTCATTCATGATGATGATCTTGAACTTTATGCAATTCAAAAAGCAAGATAATTAAATTGGGATACATTCAAGACAAGCAAATCGTTTATCAATAATTTTAAAAGAGAAAACGGAATATCATCAAGAAGATATAACAAAATTATTACTCGAACGAAATCAAACAGAAAAATATGCAGTTTAAAGGGTAATGTAACATTTTGTTTGGTCTTTAAATACATTCTTAATGTAATATGTATATTTTAGATGCTCAAAATTGGATTGAAAGTAAAAGGACCTTAATATCAAAGTATTCTTCTTACCAAATTTTGAATAGTGATCACTGTTCATTTCAGCAAGAATATATTGCATCAAGAACATTTTCTTTTACTGGTGAAAGAACAACAGAAGTGACTGTTAAAAAGAAATATAATACAACACATTCTTATACTGTCCAACCTGTTACATCAGCCGACGGTCATTTATTAGACAAGTTCTTGCTTATTCTTCAAGAAAAAGGAAATACATTTGGTAAAAATGTGCAAAAACATTTAATTGTACCACCAAACATTGTAGTTGAAGCTTCAAAATCAGGAAAAAGCAGCAATGAAAAACAGACTGCTTTTTTACATGAAGTTTTATGTCCTTTGGTTGGTAAAAAAGTTCTTCTTTTCCTTGATTCTTGGAAAACTCAACCTGATCTAACAAAATTTAGAGCAGGATTTCCTAATCAAGACAGTCAATTATTGATTTTTCCTGAAGGATCAACAGGTTATATTCAACCACAAGATCTTTCTTTATTTCGTTCATGGCGATTTATTCATGAAAAAATCGAACATTACGTTCATATCAATCAAGTAGAAATGACCATAAGTGATCGTTAATATTTCATCAACATACATTCTGTTATTCACAATCAATTATCAGCTCTACAATTCAAAAATCTCATTAAGAATGGATTTATACACGCACAAATAATAAAGGAAACAATTGGACAGATTGAAAAGCCAAAAGATGTTTGCTTCAAGTTTTACGATCTATACTGTTCAACTAACAATTGCAATGAAAGAACGCTATTAATGTGTGCCTGGTGTAGAAAAGCTCTTTGCTACTATCATTTGATTGAAGATCTACGTCTGCACTTATAACA